AAGAAAAATAGCATAAATGATGTGGCATGAAATAATGTGTCTTTTTCCTTGGTGGGTCCTGCTCCTGTTAAAACTCTTTGAAAGTGTGCCCCAATCACTAGTGTTCCTAGGTGGCATATAGTAGCAGGAAAAACAACCTTGTTAAATATAATAGGTAATTTGTATAGATTTATGCTATATTAATTATGCATAGGCAAAATTTAAAAATACTGAAGCTTGGCATGGTGGCTCATATCTGTAATCCTAACAGTTTGGGATCGCTTGAGGCCAGGAGTTAAAAACCAGCCTAAGCAACATACCAAGACCCTATCTGTACAGAAAATTTTAAAAAACAACAACGACAGCAACAAAAAAATAGCTGGGTGTTGTGGCGGGCGCCTATAGTCCCAGCTACTGGGGAGGCTGAGGCAAGAGAATCGCTTAAGCCCAAGAATTTGAGGTTGCTGTGAGCTATGACGCCGTAGTACTCTACCGAGGGCAAGATAGTGAGACTCTGTCTGAGGAAAAAACAAACAAAAAAAACTCTCACCCCCAAGGACTCTTGTATTTCCTAGATAAGTAACTGTAGTGATTATTAGAAGATTGTAATATACAGGGTGTTCCAGAGGTTACCATAAATAGGAATAATTTAACAAACTTGTTAAATTTTATATATTTAGCATTTCTTACATTTATATATCAACATTTAAGAAATATTTTGTAAAATTTTGTAACATTTAACTATAATTTCCTGTTTTCCCTAAGTATGACATATGTATGGTGACCTTTAAGATATCCTGCATTATCAATATTTTTATATTTTTATCAACATGAATAATATCTTTATTTCCTTTGAGGAATAATTTTATTTCTGTTCTTTTGATAGACACTTGGCATTTCATCTGATGAAAAATTTGTTATTACAACAACAAGTAGGAAGGAAATTACCTGTGACAATTTTGGTAAGTAAACAGTGTTACTAAGTCCATGCTTTTATATTTAATATGTTTTAGTACATGATAGATGTGTGTTTTTATTATGTAGATTTTGGTTAATTTATTAGAGTGAGGGAGGCAACTGGCTATATGTGCATAGTTTCCATACTGGTTATATTTTTCAAGCGTTGTCATAGAAAAATAGTTGAGGCTTGGTGCTCGTAACTCTGTGGCTAGGGTGCCGGCCACATACACTGGAACTGGCAGGTTTGAACCTGGTCCAGGCCTGCCACACAACGATGACAGCAAAACAAATAGCGGGGCATTATGGTAAGTGCCTATAGTCCCAGCTGCTTGGGAGGCTGAAGCAAGA